TTGTGACTAAAAATGGTGCGAAATTTGAAGACTTAGACATAGAAGGTTTGTTAACAGTCAAAGAAAGTTTTGACAGAAGGTTCTCAAACCTTAAAGAAGGCAAAGCATACAAACTTGTTATACCTTATGAACCAAAGAAAGCAGACGACTATGAATATTATGAGTCTAAGATAGTTGAAGTTCAAGGTAAATTGGGTAAAAAGATTTTAGAGTCTAAGCCGGTGTTTGCTCCTAAAGAGGAAGAGAACATTGACATTGACCCAGAAATGTTCTAAAAATAAAATTTTATTTTTACATGTCAAATTTCTTTTTCTCTGGCTCTGGTTCTTTCTTCTCTTCTTCTACTTTCTTTTCTTTCTTTTCTCTCTTCTTCTTTCTGGTGGAGTTATGTCAAACTTCTCAGAACCATATTTTTGTAAAAGTGCTTTGTCATTTAATAGCTCTTCTATTCTGTTTTCTATTTCATTTTCAAGAACAGCGCATGTGTCTTCTTTGCATTCTAAGAAGTTTTGTTGGACTTCATCTCTCCAAGAGGCGTCATCTCTGTCAACAAGTCTGTCATTGACAAATTTTAAGACTTCTCTGCTTAAGGTTTTATGGTTCTTGTCATATTCCCAGAAACAGAACTTTAGAACAAATTCCCTTTCTTGTTTACACTATGTAAGATTTTATGGTCGACAGATGTTTTGCTGTCGAAAAGCTTGTCTCGAATATAGATAGCGAAATCGCTAGACATTTCCTAAAAGATAAAAATTTTAATTTTTCTAAAAATATGTTAGAAAAAAAGTTTGCTGACATTGACAAAAATTTTGAGAATGTTTTAAATAAGAACAAGAGGAAGTTGGAAAATGCTCAGATAAAACCCATACATGACAAGTTCTTATTTGCTCAGAATGGTATAACAGGTCTAATTGCACCACCTGGGTCGGGTAAGACTTTCACTTATCTTAAAATGGCTGCACAACAACAAGAACTAGATGAGAAGAACCCATTCTATGAGTTAGTAGTCATTTGTAGTACTTCTGGTCAATTTGACCAAACCGTCAATTCGTTCAAAGATATTATAAAAAAGTCTAAGTTAGTATGTATAAAAGATACTGAGTTGTTAGATTGGATAAAGAAGTACCAAAGAAGAGTTTTGAAGTACAATGCTATAAATGAGTATGTCAATTCGAGGTTTAAAGACCCAAATGAGGAAATGCAGAGAATATTAGAGAAGAAACACTTCAGAAACAAACAGAAAGAGATAGAATACATTTCGAAGAAATTGCAATCTTACGATTGGAAGACTTACCCTCACAGATGTCTTCTTATCTTAGATGACTTTGCTTCTCATCCTTTGTTAAAGAACAGAGAACAAGACATGTGTCGAATTCTTAAGAAGCTCAGACACTTTAACATTTCAGTTGTCATTTGTGTACAGACAGCCAAGAGTTTAAGTAAGGATGTAAAGAGAATACTTACTGATATCATACTTTTCCCCGGATTGTCCGAAGACGATTTCATGGAACTTATGAAAGAGTCCATGGCAGGTAAGTTTGACAGACATGAACTATGGGAGAAGTACAAAGTCATACAAGACCCTCATACTTCTTTCAGAATTCACATCTACGCAAACAAAGTTCAAATTGTAAAAAGTCAAGCGTAAAAATAAAGAGTTAGTCTTAGTAAGTCTGTTGTGGTTCTGCAGCTTTCGGTTCTTCTGGCTTTGGAATGGACTCGGTTGGTGGTACGTCGGACATTCGTTTGTGTCCTGTCGGAAGGAAGAACTTTTCCTGTCGGAAGGAAGAACTTTTCCTGTCGGAAAGAAAAACTTTTCCTGTCGGAAAGAAAAACTTTTCCTGTCGGAAAGAAAAATTTTTCCTGTCGGAAAGAAAAACTTTTCCTGAAGGTCGACCAAAAAGTTCTCAATTTTCGAAAATTTGAATGGTTTACGGACGGACAACTGGAAAAATTTTTCCTGTCGGAAAGAAAAATTTTTCCTGTCGGAAAGAAAAACTTTTCCTGTCGGAAGGAAGGACTTTTCCTGTCGGAAAGAAAAACTTTTCCTGTCGGAAAGAAAAACTTTTCCTGTCGGAAGGAAGGACTCGGAATGTCGGAAGGAAGGACTCGGAATGCCAGAAGGACTCGGACAAGACAATTTACCATCTAGAGCTACCTGAGCCATCTTTGGTGTCAAGCTTGAAAAATAAATGGTTCATTTACTCTTCCTCTTTGAAGTTATCGAAATACTCTGTTATCTTTTCTTTCAGTAGCGGCAAATCTTCTTTGAATGTAAGTATTGTACAACCTTTCATATCATAGTGTGTTTGAGGTAACGTATCTTGAACTATCTGTTTAACATCTTCATTCGGTGTCATTGAAATCGGTAAGTTTTCGCGATAGAACCAATTTCTGTCAGATTTGTAAATCTTAGCTAAGTCGTAAAAGCTTTTGTTGTTTCTTCTGACTAAATGCAACATAACCATATCTCTGTCTTCTTCATTTTCCATCTCTTCAGTGTAAATCATATACTTATAGTTCTTTTCCTTTCCTTTTGGTACCGAACGTGGTATTCTTTTCTGTATGTTTTTGTCTTTTGCTTCAAGCTTGTTCTCTAGCTCTTCACGTTCTTGTCTATGAATTTCATCTAACATCATGAAAATATAACAAGCGTAACGAGGTGAAGCCCACATTGCAACAGCATTTACTAAAAGTCTATGTACATACCAACCTCTCAAACCATTTGGCAAATTTTGACGATTTTCGTACGGAATCTCGACCCGCGGTTTTCCGCCGGTCGCAAACATATGAGGAAATTCTTCTAAAAGTTCTTTTGTCTGTTGGTTTTCAAACCAATGACGTGCTTGCTTTGTAGAACGAAGAGCATTCAAAATACTTTGCATTTGGTACATGTCATCTTTGACCGAACGAATGAGACGTAACTGTTTGTTATACTGTATGTACTCGTATTCTTCATTTATATCTTCATGAACGATAGCAGTTGTTGTGTTCTCTGTTGTTGTCATATCTGTCTTTACATACAAAATAAAAAATAAAATAAAAATAAAACTAGCGTTATTTTCTATCTTGTATAAAAGACCAAAAATAAACGCTTTACATGTATTTTTCAGCAACTTCGTCAAATACTTTTATAGCTTTGTCGATCTCATCTACTTCAAACGTTTCTTTACCTTTCGTGGGAGCACCATACATTTTCTCAAACTTTTCAAGTAGTTCTGTTTCAGCAGCTCTCATATCGTTAACAAACACAACCTTGACTCTATTGACTATACTGTCATATCTTTGAGTTATATTAAATGTTCTTCCTATCTTATATCTCTTTGTATTGAAGTCCTTCGGTTTCTGAACGATGTAAAGTAAGCCTTCACTGCAACGTTCCGTATCGAATGAACCATATGTTATGAAATTATATCCAACAACTGGGTCAATCCAGAACAAAACTACTGGTATAAGACTTTTGTCGATGAGATATGTTCTTGTTCCATAGAATCTTACCGATATCATCAGCTCAGGATTTCTTGTCAAAATTTTCTGAGTTGAAGCATTTTTAACCCAGTCGTGGGATGTTTTCTTTCCAGATAGTGTTAAAATGTCTGACAAAGAATATTTTTTGTATTTCTTTGAGTATCTTACGTTTAAATCACCTATTCTAACCACTTTGGTGTCATTGTCTATCTTTTTAACTGTTTCAAACTCAGTGCTTGTCATTTCCTGTTCTTACATACAAAATAAAAAAAAATATTTTAAAAAAACTAGCGTTAATTTTATTTTTTCTATCTTGTATAAAAGATATGATTTTCATGTGTTTTTTTACGATTTTCATGAGTTTTAGGCGTTCCTCGGTTTTCCGCGGGTCGCATTTTTTCACGATTTTCATGAGTTTTTTTCACGATTTTCGTACGGAATCTCTATCCTCGGTTTTTCGAGGGTAGCATTTTTTCACGATTTCATAGAGTTTTTTTACGAAGTGTAAAAGTTCTCTTCGTCAAAAAAATACAGTTATATCATGAAATTTGGTCATTTTTTCACGATTTCATAGAGTTTTTTTACGAAGTGTCAAAGTTCACTTCGTCAAAAAAATACAGTTATATCATGAAATTTGGTCATTTTTTCACGATTTCATAGAGTTTTTTTACGAAGTGTCAAAGTTCACTTCGTCAAAAAAATACAGTTATATCATGAAATTTGGTCATTTTTTCACGATTTCATAGAGTTTTTTTACGAAGTGTCAAAGTTCACTTCGTCAAAAAAATACAGTTATATCATGAAATTTGGTCATTTTTTCACGATTTCATAGAGTTTTTTTACGAAGTGTCAAAGTTCACTTCGTCAAAAAAATACAGTTATATCATGAAATTTGGTCATTTTACTCAGCAAAAATATATTTTAGATCTAACCAGGTCCCTCGGTCCCTCGGTCAACTAACATTTTTTTGAAAATGGTGACAACATGACATTTTGACAACAGTCCAGGAAATAGACTTCTTCGTATATGTTTTGTTGAGACTTCTTCGTCAATGAGCGTAAATCAGACAAAAATGAGTTTTGTGTGTTTTCTACGGTGGAGCCAAAAATGGCTCGACCTCAAAACAAGCATTTCGTGAAGAATATACCAACCGCCGGAATTCCGGCGGTTGCTTTTTATACAAAACATTGACGTTCATGTTTGACAAAACAAGCATTTTGTGAAGAATATACCAACCCGCGGAATTCCGCGGGTTGCTTTTATACAAAACATATACGATGAAGTCTCAACAAAACAAGCATTTCGTGAAGAATATACCACCCGCCGGAATTCCGGCAGGTGCTTTTTATACAAAACATATACGATGAAGTCTCAACAAAACATATACGATGAAGTCTCAACAAAACATATACGATGAAGTCTCAACAAAACAAGCATTTTGTGAAGAATATACCACCCGCCGGAATTCCGGCGGTTGCTTTTTATACAAAACATTGACGATGAAGTCTCAACAAAACATATACGATGAAGTCTCAACAAAACATATACGATGAAGTCTCAACAAAACATATACGATGAAGTCTCAACAAAACAAGCATTTCGTGAAGAATATACCAACCCGCGGAATTCCGGCGGTTGCTTTTTATACAAAACATTGACGATGAAGTCTCAACAAAACAAGCATTTCGTGAAGAATATACCAACCGCCGGAATTCCGGCGGTTGCTTTTTATACAAAACATTGACGATGAAGTCTCAACAAAACATATACGATGAAGTCTCAACAAAACATATACGATGAAGTCTCAACAAAACATATACGATGAAGTCTCAACAAAACAAGCATTTCGTGAAGAATATACCAACCCGCGGAATTCCGGCGGTTGCTTTTTATACAAAACATTGACGATGAAGTCTCAACAAAACAAGCATTTCGTGAAGAATATACCAACCGCCGGAATTCCGGCGGTTGCTTTTTATACAAAACATTGACGATGAAGTCTCAACAAAACAAGCATTTCGTGAAGAATATACCAACCCGCGGAATTCCGGCGGTTGCTTTTTATACAAAACATTTACGATGAAGTCTATCTCCTGTGTTGTTGTCAAAATGTCATGTTGTCACCATTTTCAAAAAGATGTTAGTTGACCGAGGGACCTGGTGACGTAGTGACACCTAAAATATATTTTTGCCGAATTCAATAAAAATAAAATGGTTCATTTACTCACAATATTTTTGTACAAAACGACCCCAAACTTTTAACCTCTCTTCTGCAGCTTCTAATGAAACTTTAGCGAGTTCATATTCTCTAAATTCTCTCTTTAAATCTTCTTGTTCCCATTGGTCTAGTTCGTATGGAGAGTCTCTATAACCAGAACATATCTCATGTTCATGTTCTATTTGTTTTAAACGCATTTTTCTAACTTCTTGTTCGAACAAAGGTTTTGCATTCTCTGCTGTATCTTCAAGTTCTTCTTCATCTAATTTCTCATGAACTTTCTTGTCTATGGAGTCCATAATTTTTCCAACTGCTATGCAATATTTTGGAGAAGCCCACATTGCTATATAGTTTACAAGTCTTGGGTCTACATACGTTCCTCTAACCTGTTTGATTTCATCGGGAATTCCTGCATGAATTTTGTATAAAAAGCAACCGCCGGAATTCCGCGGGTTGGTATATTCTTCACAAAATGCCTTAAAATACTCTTCCCGGGACTTATTTTCCAACAACTTTCTAAAGTCCTTCCTAAACTGCTGACACATATTTGTTACATTTATATAACCATCCTTGTCTCTACGTAAGACTTCAATACCATTGTAAGTGCCTTTTGTGAATGTTTCGCCATTAGATTTGTTCGTGAACGTTTTTGCTTCGACTGTCATATCTGTTCTTACAATAAAAATAAAAAATATTTTTTGGCTTAACCGTCGGACATTCGTTTGTGGCTTAACCGTCGGACATTCGTTTGTGGCTTAACCGTCGGACATTCGTTTGTGGCTCAACCTCAAAACGAGCATTTCGTGAAGAATATACCACCCGCCGGAATTCCGGCGGGTGCTTTTTATACAAAATTCAACGGGTGAAAGAATACGATGAAGAAGTCATGACAAAACATTTACGATGAAGTCTCAACAAAACATGTACGATGAAGTCTATTTGGTTCTATTTGAAAACAAAACTCTTCTAAATCCTATTGCCTTTGCATCTGAAGGACTTTGAAGCCAACGAATTGGATAGTCAAACCTGTATGTTTGGGATAAAATTTCTTCATCTGATATAGTCCTACCAGCGTTTGTAAAGATATAGTCTAACGGTTTTGTATCTGCTACTTTTGTTCTTTGTTTTTCAACCTGAAGCATTTAATATATGTAAAAATATACTGTTTTAAAAACGTTTTAAAATGGTATGCCATATAGCTTCTTGAATTTGTTAAGAAGTATATGAACGTTTTTTCCATCTGTATCTCTAGTGTTTACATAAGCATAGCCTTCCTTAGTAAAATATACTTGTAATTTCCTATAGTTTACGCCGGTATAAAAGTAGAAAGAGTCTTGTTCTTCGCTATAGTAGTAAAACTCAAACGTATGCTTGCCATAGTCTGTAATTTCAATTGTTTCATCTTCTAGTTCGTCGACAAATTCGAATACAATATCTCCAAATTTGCTTTTGTTCTTATTGTTTTCAGAACAAGTGACCCAACGTAAGTTTTCAAGTCTATTGTCGTTTCTTATATGGTTTATATGGTCTACAAAAGGTAAATTGTTAGGATTCAGTATAAAATGAGTTGCAATGACAACATGTTTAGGATAGTGTTTTCCACTCATATTCACAATAGCATATCCGTTATTTCGCTCCCATTCGCTTAAAACTCTTTTTGTCTTTTTGTTTCTGACTTCAAATGACTCACAACAGTGAATTTCATATTTCTCATCTAACAAACAAGTTTCCCAACGGTCTTCTCCAACAAACTCAGCGTACATTTCAAATAAAATAAAAAAATATTTTTTTGAAAAAACGTTTTTATTTCATGCAATGTTTTATTTCATGCAATGTTTTATTTCTGTGCCGTCTTCAAGTATACCCCAATATTTCCTTTTCGATATTACATGAACTTCGGAAAATACCTTGTCTAGCTTAAAAAAGCCCATCTTTTCACCGACCATTCCCATTTCAATGAGTTTGTTGTATCCTTCTTCGTTCGTCATGAGCGCATCGATGTTCTCATAGTAAACCTTCACTTTGGATTTGACATCGGAGAAAAATTTGTTGTAGTTGTCAAGGACTGCCTTTGCGAACTGAGGGTAAGACCAATGTTCGACAATAGGTTTTACTGTGGTTACTAAGCCATTTTGACCTTCGGTGAACTCGTATTTCAAAACAAAAGGAGAAAACCTTTCAACAAAGTTGTCGACCTTCTCATAGTGTTTACTCTTCATCTTTTGAGGTTTTTTAATAGAATATCCCCATGTCGAATTCATAAGCAATTTGAGTGTCATTGCAAGTTTGGGGTTTGAAGCTTTCCTAATATCATATAGTTGTTGTATGACTTTTCCAACTGTATAGTTCCTTCCCGGGAACTCACCATCTTCGTTTGGAATTCCAGTCGGGATATATTGGACAAACCTCATGTACGCAGCGTTAAGGTCGACATAGTATATCTTTTCATATGAGTCGAACTTGTCGCATCCAATCGGTCCAGTTCGTGGAAATTCAAGTGAGTCTCTTATCTTCTGAGAAACCTCGCCTGTTATCTCATAAACACCGTCGAAGCAACCTGTTTCATATAAAACCTTCTGACCTAACTCTGATGCTCTCCAATACAATTTGACGTCGACTGGATGCCTCAATGGAAGTTTGTTTATAGCATCTTGAAGTTCTTGCAACCTCATTGGAAGTTCTTCTGGTTCAGGTTGGTATCCGAACAATCCAACTCCTTTTGGAACTGTGTACTTCTTTTGTGCTATAACTTTGTCCGGAACAACTTTTGGTCTTGCTAACAATGAAAAGTTTGTTTCGTCTTTTGGTACAAAAGTTTCTGTCAGCTTGTCATCTGGAATTGGTTCCAACAAGCCTTTCTCGAAAAGAATGTTAACAGCTCTGACAATGTTGCACTTGCCTTTTCCGAACAATGGGTTTGTAAGACTTTCGTTCAACATGAAGTGGTTGTGGACAAGTACAATCTTCAACCATGGTAAGTCTTTGTCAACAACATAGTCGTCATGTGAAGAACCTTTCTCAGTCGGAATGTTGACTCGGATATTCACATTTGCCAACGGTGCAACTTTTGTCAATTGTCCTCTGAGAATGTACCTTGTTTTCACACATGACTCAAGATACTTCATCTTCTCATCTGTAACAAGACCAGAGTTCCTGAGACATGTAAGAATACAAGGTTCATTGACAATTGTTTCAATTGAATTGTAAATTCCATACCTTGTCAAGTCAATGTCAGACTTATTTCTGAAGGGGAAGTATCCAGCATGTTGTCTGACTGCTTGAGGGTTGGGTTGGCACCATTCGAACTTCACGCTTGCAATTCCTTCAATTGCATTCAAAATATCTGAGTCGGAGTCAAACATTTGTTCTCTCTTTGTAGTCTTGAAAGCGTCAAGAAGTTGTGCGGCTGTTGTGACATTGCCATGTGCATAGTAAATATGACCATCCAAATCTGTTACGGTCAATCTGAGATTGTATCCTTTCTTATTTCCGTCTTGAATTGCAGCAAGTACTCCCATGAAGCCTTCTTTGTTCTTTCCTTCGTCAAAGTTTACTGTAAAGGTTCGACCAGATGTAATTTGACTTCTAACCTCACGATACTTTTCATATGCATATCTTGTTCTTTCCATGGGAGCATGTGCGTCTTCACCTTTTCCTTTTTTCCGTCTCAAGGGATGCAATTGTTCGTCATGTTTCCAGTAGAATCTGGCAAAGCCGTCGTGTCCTTCAACTTGCGGTTCATTAACATCGAAAGGCATGTCCATAAGACGCTCTTCTTCTAACCTCTCTAGTCTGTTTGGATAATTTGCGCGTGCTGTTTCCAAGTCCATTTCGTAGCGAAGACCAGACAATTTGTCATAGACTTTTATGGGTCTTCCCTTCCTATATTTAAACTTCTTTGAAACTCTCCAACCATATCTTTGCAACTCTGCTTTTATTTTAGCAGATTTTCTATCCATTCTATACGGGGGCATTTCTATAAAAATAAAAAAATGTTTTTTCTTTACTTTACATAACCACCGGCTGCTATAAGTCTTTGACGCCAACCCATACCAGCTAATGAAGGTTGACTTGGTTTAGTATTGAAACTAAACTTTGGTTTTGGTTTATCTTCAGTTTTTGGCTTCCCTTCTTCTATCGGTTTTTCGTCACTTTTCGGTTCCTCTGACTTTACTTCACTTGCTGGAATAGTTGTGTCGTCAACATCTTCATAAATGTCATATGCCATTTGTTTTTGTTTTCCTTTCAACTTTTTGTGTTTGTTGTAAAGTTTAGAATATTTCGACTCTAAGTCAATGAGATGTTCTATAATGAACTGTTGGTCAGTGAAGTAAACTTTTCCATCTGTTGTCTCGAAAACTCCTTCAGACTTCAATATTTTATTTGTGAGAGTCTGTTTCTTTTTTGAGATAC